GACATCAGGATATAAGGAGCCCTGGGCAAGGCACAACCCCAAGTAGTTCTCTTTCGGCAAGCTTTCTCAATAATACAATAAACGCCTATCTGCATTCCGCCATAGGGCCAGTTCCTCACAGAAGGAGAGGATTTTGATCGCTCGGAGTTCGCACCAAGCGCTTACCTATATATTGGAAGTCGTGAGTCAGCGTGGTACTATATATACAGAATAGTGCACACGTGCCGAGCAAAGTGGGATAGATGGCAAGCATAATCGAGTATACTGTCACCTGTAAGTAGTCCTTACTCGGAGAGTCAAGAGGTGGTTTCCGATTGACGAGGCCACCGCAACAGTCGAGGCGAAACCACCTAGAGAAGCAAGGACCACTCCAGGGGGGCCTCCCAAGACGGCTACGCCTCTAATTAGCCCCTGCCCAGGCGAGCAAGGCAGAGGCTGTCAATGGCGGATAAGCCACTTCCATTTGGAGCAGTTGCTTTAGTCGATTGTGCATCCAACAAAGGAGATCGAGCGCATTCTCTCCTATGATGAGGTATATGAGACGGATGGCAAGGTCGTGGCAGTTCCACAAGAGCGGCGAGTAACCCCAGTCTTTCCAGAGCGGTGGATAAACTACCACGTCCTTATTAGCAAAGTCAACAAGGAGGAGGAGAGTTATATACGTAACCTACAGCGGTCAGATATACACCTCTATATCACCAATCTCTTGTATCGCATCTATTTTCTTGATCGCCTCTAAATGTCCAGCGTACGCCGTTCCTCCCGCGATTTTCATTTCCAGGATGTTCCCAGTATATCCCAGTCTCGAACTTTTTCCGAATGCAGAAGGGCGGGTCATCCTATACCGCTTTTGAGATGAGGCAAGCTGCAAAATGCCGGACAAATGACATGTGAGACTTCATCGTTGGTATAGTTGTCGTGTCGCTGCTCTCCCAGTCAACAATCGATGTAAAGTTCCCCTTGGCGGTATCTGACCAAGAAGCGGAGTTCAGAATGCTCTGGAAACTGGAGCCCAAGGGTATCTGGACTATGATCACGCGCCATATTCGGATATGAACCGCACGAAATTCGGCAGAGATTTCTTCTGACATGATATGCTCTTCATGGATATCGACTGACATATCAGGAAATAAAATCTTTCCCTTCCGTCTTGAGTAAGGCCGGGGGAGGACAAAGGCACCTTCAGACGAGGCGGGGTGTTACAAGGGCTAGAATTCCCCGCCCACCTACTCACGCCTCCCACCCGTTCTTGGCTCGCAGCTGCCCAACCAAACCATAACTCCTCGACAACCCCTCATCCTGTTAAAATAGTTCCCATTCCGCCATATCGCACCTCTCGTGCCTGAAGGACGGCGAAAATCCTGCTGCTCAATGCTACTCACTCATCGGATGCGCTGTCGCCCATTCGCAACCATCATCGCACATCCAAGATTCACCGATAATATATTCCTGTTCCCGCGACACGAACCCAAGCCTCGCCGTTATGGGGGATATGGGAGCCCGCGAACACGAATGTGTTGCTGAAAGAGCTGCACGCGGACCTTGGCCGAAAATATAAGAAACACAAGGCAGAAATTGAGACATTCTGGCGGTCGTTTGACGCGACGCAGCTGCACCCCAGGCTGGCCAGAAAGCACTGGTTGAGCCCTTCATTCAGAACTACCAAAAGTTCAACAGCAACACTGGTTGGAAGGACGATAGGGGCGCGTGGCCGCAGGTCATGCAGGCGCTGAGCCGTAAGTGCAACCCCAATACTGATCAAAAAACGGTCTGACTGATCGTACCTCCTTGCCAGACTTCAGCTACCACGCCTCGGGCGGAAACCACGTGCTTTGCGATCTGCGGGGCGGCATCTACCAGCACGAGCTCGTCTTATCCGACCCGGTGATCCTCTCCCGAACCGGCGACTACGGCGTCACTGATCTCGGCCGTGACGGTATCAGCTCCTTCTTCAGTCAGCACGACTGCAACCAGTACTGCCGCCCCAACTGGACGAAGCCCGCGAATCCGTGGCTACACTTCAACCCGGTCCCAGGCACGACCATGCTCCGCCGCACCGTGCCAACCGCCGCGTCCCGGCCCAGCGACACCCGTGACTATAGGAACTGGTAATAGTGATGGAACGAACAGTGTGAATATCGCATGAAGCACACATGAATATCTGGTCTGTTCGCTAGCAATTTGACATACTGTGGTGCACATCACCTCAACCATCCCTAAATTCAGCCTCAAATTCACATTCAAGAGGTTGTGGGCAATCTCTTCTTCTCGGGATGCGCAGCGGGTCCCCAAGTATTGTGCTTGTGTTGATGCCCTGCGCACTTGACCAGGTACTCCCGCCCCTCTTCTCCCTGTCCCCGTCCCCGAATATACTCGACCTCAAATACTCGTCGCCTTGAACCTCCTCGGCCGTGGAGGCAACTCGAGAAGTGAGAGCGCGCTCCGGCGAGGAAGTCCTCCCTGCTGGTGACGCGCGCCGCGGGCTTTCCGGTGCGCGGTCATTTCGTCCCAGGCCTGCAACAGCTGTTCGCTTAGTTGCGATGGCAGGCACCTCAAGACACGCGCTGGGCAGCGACGAGATGATATCTACAGTAATTAGATTTAGGGTTTGACCCAAGAAGACGGGAGTGATGACCCAACGGTTGTCACAGACCAGCAGTTTTCTTGGGCTGGCTTGGAGACTGTCGAGGCGAGATAGAACTGTGTGGCGTCAGGGCGCGCTGCTTGGGACATTTGCTGTCCAAATCATCATCATAACGGAATCTGATTACCCGAGACGAAAGATCCAACACTGACCCTAATACACCCTCCCTATCCCGCTCACCCCATCCTGCAACACCCCAAATGCATACAACCCTTCCAAGCTCTTCAAATACACCCTCCTCTCCTCATCCGTCATGACAACCACAGGCCTCACATCCTCCACCAACCCCGGACTCTTGCAGACATACCCCAACTTCCCCACGATCGTGTCCGGGTTATTCTCCATGTACGGAAACTTGGACAGCCATATCCGATTCGTCACAGCCACGAACATGATGATAATCCCGCAGACGGTAAACGCGATCCAGTGCACGACCCAGATGGCGTCCGCATTGTACGCCGTCCCCTGGCTCATCGAGGTCGTGATACCAAAACACAGCAGCCCGATCTCGAGCAGCAGCGAAATGGTCGTCACGCAGCCGAGGAAGTGTTGCCCATCCTGGAACGCCCGGACAGTTCTCAGCCCTGGAACGATGGCGGTATAGTCGCGTTCCAGCAGCGGCCAGGCTTTTCTCGGCTGCGTGTGGAGGGATCGGTAGGGCGTCAGCACAGTCGTTTGGGCCTCGGCGACAACCCAGAGCGTCTTGACGATGGCGGCGACGAAGAGCTCGGTGAAGGCCAGGATCATACTGTCGCTGGTTTGGCTGGACGCTTGGAGTGTTTTCTGGAAGGCCTCGTCGATGGAACTGCTAGGCTTCTCCGTGCCGCCGGTCAGCAGGATGAAGACGACGAGGAAGAGGTTGCCTATCGTGGTCAGACCCACGGCTGAGCGCAGCACTCGGTGATGAGTTATCGGGCCGCAGAAGACGCACCGAACGAGGAGCTTGGCGGCTTTCTTCAGGCCCCTGAGGAACCCGTTCCTTGGCCTGGGCGGTCCGGATGGAGGAGCAAAGCACAGCCCGTATGAGGAACCTCCCTCGCCGCCGGTTCCTCCACCACCTCCCAAATGAACGACCGTCCCTTTCAACACCTCCTCCGCATCCTTCGCCCCTTCACCAACCACCGTGGTGGCAATCCCCTCCAGAAACCCCGGCTGGGCAGCAGCCAGACTGACCAAGGCCGCGAGCCCCTTGGTATCATTTCTCAACCCAGTCTGCCTCCTCATCGTGACCCAAAGCAACCACACCCCCAGCCCAGTCGCAGCCCACAACACCCCCTCCTGTGCCCTCGCAAACACCGGATCAGCATACACCACAGTCCTGACCACCCCATCCCCCTCCGCCTCCTCCATAAACCTCCCCACAACCGGCCCATCCCCTCCCCGGGGCTCCCACCTAAACCCCTCCCGCCCCAATACCTCCCACCCCCCATCCTCCTCCTCATACCCCACCTGCACCACCTGCCCCTGCAACTGAAACATCTGCGTCTGCAACACCGGCGTGACAAACCCCACCAGCACATACACCACCGACGAGAGCAGCACAGCCCACTGCCGCCACCTAACCGCCTGCAGCGGCACGAGAACAGGGGGGATACTGATATAACTCGCAAACACCGTCTGGGACGCCCTCGCCCCGCCGGGAAGCGAGGCCTGATAAAACGGTTCGATGCGCTTGACCTCGTCGTCGACGAGCTGCCAGAGGAGGGCGTACAGCACCGCGAGGAGGGTGGGGAGGTAGAGCCAGGCGAAGGTGGTTGCGGGGGAGAGGGTGGTGGTGGGGGCGATGGTGAGGAAGCCTGTTTTGGCGGCGGGGGGGGGTTCGAAGGGGGGGAAGGTGGTGAAGGGGAGGGTGGAGAGGCAAGTTTGGGAGGGGGTGGGGGAGGCGCAGTACCAGGAGAGCCATGCCGTGCGGAGGGTTTGTTCGGAGTAGGTGCGGTTGCTGAGTTGGATGAGGGCTTCGAGGGTTGCGGCGAGGGCGGCGGAGGTGAGGATTAGGGGGGTGAGGAAGTAGGGGGAGAGTTGCCAGGGTTTCCAGGCGGGAGTTGGCGGTTTTGGGGTGTGCATCTTGCCTCGCAGGCGGTGATCATTGATTGGTAGGGGGGAATTGATAGATTAGGTCTAAGGAGTTGAGGTTGATAGAAGAGTCCAGGAGACATCGTATTTAACTTTAGATGATCTCATAATGAGGCTAAGATACTTCAGTAAGCACCACAGCCCGCGCAGATGAAAGCAACTCCGATAGGGCTTGATCAGGAACTTGATCGGCACCTTCAGGAGCGTCCAACTGCTAGCAGCCTTATACGCCTTAGGGAGCTGGGAGTTGCTGCGCCGCAGCCACGAAGTAGGCAGACAACCTTAGCATCCGCTGGGCTCAGGGGCGGATGGACAGGTCAATGATTGGACCGGATGGTTGCACGACAGAAAGGATCAGCGAGTCCCAGGCAGCCCAAGCGCATGACAACACCTCCCAGAGTGGCAGTAGCAGCACCGGAACCGCGTAGAGAGCGGATAAAAACACTGCGGCCGCGGATCAAAGGGCCAGCGGTTCATCGAGATTGAAGGGGGGGGGTACGACAGAGCGGCTTGTCCTCGATGGGGTGATGAAGCGAGTACGCTGTGTTGTCGGCCGAGCTACGACCTGCTGGAAAGCACACCGTGAAGGCGACCCGGATGCCCTGTTTGTTGTCAAGGATTCGTGGCAATACCTGGAGCGTAATGACAAGGGCGGGTTGCTCCGTGAAGCGACGAGCAAGGGTATAGTCCAGGTGGCCCGGTATTATTACTACGAAACCGTCCAGGTACGGAATATAGAAGACGATATCTAAGGCAATGTCCGGAAGGGGTTAGATATGACTAAGGCTGTAAACTACTAGGAGGATCGATCATAACTCCTAAGTATAAGTACTATAGCTCTATCGTATACCAGTTGGAGCTGTAGTATCGTTAGTATAAAGCAGTTGTCTAACTAAACCAGTACTCCCCTACTATCTAGTAAGTAGTTGTGAGAATCAGGAGAGACTCAGGGGTTGATACTAAGAGTGAGGAGATGTCAGGGCGCACAGGGCACCAGGGTTAGGGTTGACTGTAGGCAGGGGCTGGAAGCTAAGGATGCAGCGGCAAACGCCCTATCTTCAGGAAGAAGGGCT